TTGTCAGTAACATAAAATATATATGGGGATTTGATGTGAGCTATTCAATTCTCCCCTACCCTGGTTAGGGTAGAAGCGCATGATGGGACATAGCTAGAGCATCCTCCAAATAAAAAAAACTCCTAAGACTAGCCTTCTATTAAACAGGTACCAGAGGAATTATCTGAAAAACATCTGAATGGTCCATTTGAGTGTTCCTCCTTAGAAATTCTCCCCCACCAAATTCCATTTTAGAAAACCTAATTTGTCATCAGGTAGCTGACTCCAAGAGAAAAGATATAACCAGGTTGTGAAGCCCTAGGAACATGTCCTTCCTCTAAATCAGGGGGTTTCAATCTTTTTCAGGCTGTGGAACTTATTAGTTTAAAAAAAAAATCCTGGAACTCTGATTGAGAGGGGAACCTCCAGTGACAGAGTCTATAAACAATAACTAACAGCTGTAAGTCTCCTCAAAAAGTGAACTTTCTGACAGTTAACTGTTGTTTATTTCAACAAGCAACTAACCCCCTTCTGATTCCTCTCTACTAGAGAACTAGAAAGTGAAGTTAATTCAGCCATTTTACTTGAGAATGATCTCATTTATCTGATTCTTAAAGGAGAAAGAGTCTATCCTCTATGTCAGCGGTGGGCAACTGTGGCCCTTTTACAACCTGTGGACTTAAACTCCCGGAATTCCTGAGACAGCCAAGCTGGCTCAGGAATTTTGGGAGTTGAAGTCCACAGGTCATAAAGGGGCCATATTTGCCCACCCCTGCTCTATATATATAGAGGCCATTTTGGCTAGAATACTCATGTGTCCAGAATATGATTTATTAGTATCTATTAGTTATGAAAAGGTGGTGGCCTATAAAACCAAGGCATAGAAAACCTGGCTATGCGATATACTAGGATCAGCTTTTTAGTTCCCAAATTGGGTGAGGCTCAACTGTTTGTATGGTAGGGAGTTGGAATAAGCCCTTGCACTCTTTTCCCCTCTTAAAATCCTTGATTATCTTCCCTCCAAGGTGTCTGGCCTTCATCCCTTTTGAGTACAGCCCTCAACACATCACAGAGACTCCGAGGTGGCTTTCAATCCACTGGGAGATTCCCACTCCTTCTCTAATACAGAAAGGGAGGCAGCAACCTGGCAGCTGGTTCTGTTTTGGGAGATGGTAATGAAAATGCCCCTATTGTCCCATCAGGCATAAAATAGTTTTCTAGACTAACAAGCAAACAGATTATCTGTTTTGCTGCCAGGTAAAGGCTGCCAAGAGAAACTTTCTCACCATTCTTATTCTGAAGTTGAAATTACAGTTCGTTTAATATCCTTCCCTCCCACTCTCCCTGCCCTCTGTTTTCTAAGACTGAGATCTTCCCTCCTTGTTCTCACTCACAGTGTTTGGGAAACACAACGCAAGTAAAAAAAAAACATGACCTGAGACAAAAGCAAAGAGTAATTCCTGAACATACAGCAGAAGATCCAGCCTGATAAAACAGAGGGTTAGTAACTGAGCAGATGCTGGATATTAATTGTGTGGTTTTGCTGCTGAGACGCAAACTTCGTGCAAACAACCCAAAGTCTCCCTCTCCATCACATCCTGAAAGGAGAAAGTCGCGCTGCCAAAACAATGATCAAAATAACAAACTTCATGTGAGTTTTAATTCAAGAAGCCAGCAATTTTGCCTTTTGGCAAGGGAAGAAGCTTTCACTATCAGTGCTGATTTCCAAGGTGATAACTGGGAAACAAACCAGTGTCAAATTCTTTGCAAAACTGAGAATGTTTCTCGGTATTTTTCAGGATTGTAAAAGTACTCAGCTATGCAGAGATCAAAGTTTAAGTGAACCTATGTCGTTTATGGGGCATACTAGTATAACACAAGGCAATCTGGTTTAAATGGACTCATAAAAAGTAGATGAATCCTCCTTTCCCAATATATATAAAAATAAAAAATGTGGAGTCTGCAGGAACTGACCACATTAATTCTGGATTAATTTGCCCACTGCCCAGCTCTCATTTCACTTTGTGTGTAGAAGGACTCAGAGACAGGGTGAAGTAAACAGACTATTCAGGAAAATCAGGAATTCCTTCCACATGTAGGGGATTTTGTGCACATATGTCAGGCATTATATTTTGAATTCTTCAGAATTTTGCCTTCACACAAGAAAACTGTTTTGGGACTCTCTTGCTTTATCTTTTCTTTTCTTTCTTTCTTTCTTTCTTTCTTTCTTTCTTTCTTTCTTTCTTTTCTTTCTTTTCTTTCTTTCTTTCTTTTTTTGGCTCCTTCTGACAGCAAAAGTGGCTCTCAGCCTAAGGGAGCTCCAAATGAAGTCCAGGCCAGATAAATGTTTTTTTGTCCAAGTAAGACTTGGAAGCCAGGTGCATCAGTTTGAATGTCCTACTAAACCAGAGATTGGCAACATTTGAGGGATGTGGCCATAAGTAGACCTCTTGGAGAATCAGAAAAGGCTGACATCACAGGAAGGAGAGAAGAACCTGGTTGGTTTTTACAATTTGAGAAAATGTAAAGGAGAGGAATGTGAAGGGGAGGAGAGGGCCATTCTTCAAAATGGAGGCAGAAACAAGATAAACATTTGGTTCAATTTAGTTTCAGGGCATAAGTGTACATAACAATTGTCTCTTCCACCATATTAAAATTTACAAATTGGCAATAACTTTGAGAAGACCTGTGGGAACCACACCTTCTGGCCCTGTTCAGAAGTTTCTATTGCCAGGGATGGAGCAGCACTGCAATATCACATTGTTCATTCACACTAAGTTAGATATCATATCATAATCATAAGTTTATTTGTCAAGCATATATAAGGTAACAGGTAAAAGTATAAACATAATTTGAATACGTGAAAAGAGTAAGTAAAAAAGAATATTAGGACAGGGACAGTAGGCACGCTGGTGCACTTGTGCATGCCCCTTACGGACCTCTTAGGAATGGGATGAGGTCAACAGTTTAAGGTCAAAGTTTTGGGGGTTTGGGGAAGAAACTACAGAGTCAGGTAGTGCATTCCAGGCATTGACCACTCTGTTAGTGAAGTCATATTTTCTGCAATTGAGTTTGGAACTGTTTATTTATTTATTATTTATTTATTGGTTCGATTTATATGCCGCCTTTCTCCGGAGACTCAGGGCGGCTTACAATACGTTAAGCAATAGCCTTCATACTTTTTTGTATATACCTGCTTAGTAGGGCTTTCGCCCCCCTCTAAGCGGTGTTTTTTTTATACAAAGTCAGCTTATTGCCCCCACAATCTGGGTCCTCATTTTACCTACCTCAGAAGGATGAAAGGCTGAGTCAACCTTGAGCCTGGTGAGATTTGAACTTCAGTAATTGCAGGCAGTTGGCAGCTAAGTGCTACTTTAACAGCACTTTAGTCCGCTGCGCCACCAAGGCTCCTTTTACCTTGAGTTTGTATCTATTATTTGCTTGTGTATTGTTGTGGTTGAATCTGAAGTAGTCAGTGACAGGAAGGACATTGTGGCAGATAATTTTATGCACTATGTTTAGGTCAGACTGAAGTCAGCATAGTTCTAAGTTGTCTAAGTGGCATAAGGTATTTTATTGCGAATCTGAACAATTTCAGTTTAGCTTGACATCCAAACATAGGCTAAATATAAGTAGCTGCTTTTCTGTGGCTTTGGTTCTTTGGGTTTCCAAAATTGTCAGTTTCTACAAAATGCTAAATCCCCCACAGCACTGAGTTAACGTTTACATTGGTCAAAATCATGCAAATTTATCCATGGTGACTTTAACTGAACTAGTGATTGATCTTGTGTGAATTTTACTACCTGGAGATTTTTCTGGAAGGCTAGTTTCTAACAGAGTTTCTTAAGTGAGATGGCTGGGATACAATTGGAATGAATGAATGAATGAACGAATGAACGAACGAACGAACGAATGAACAATGCATAAGGGTCTCTATTGCTCCTTATGGGTTAACGGATTAGGAGAAACAAACATGCCTTACCACAAGCAAAGCAACTATAAGGATCCATGTCTTCTCAAACCACTTTATGATGGAAATTGGCCTTTAGAACACTCTTACAATATTTTTTAAAAGCATAAGCTAATAATTGGGCTGCAGCCCAACCCAACACTATAACACAAATGACAACTGTTTTTAATGGCAGTGTAAAGGAAGACACAATCTCCTATCCTTCAGCCTGCCTGTGCTCTCAGGCTGTCAAATTTAGCTGTCCAGAGCCACGCCGACTCAGTAGATAAAGTGAAAGGTTGGCATTTTTCAAAAATCTTTTCAAGCCACTCTGCCAAAAACACAATTTGGCACACCTAGTTGATTAGTTTGAGCTTTTCCTAGTTTGGCACAGATATACATGTCATAATATCCTTGGGGAGGCTTTGCAAAAGTGAAAGAGAATGGCTCTTAATATAAAAGTTGCAGTAGTTTAACTTTAGGGCAATATTCATTCTCTCTCCCTCTCCCTCCCTCCCCCGTAATATTTTAATTAACATTTTATTTTTAATTCTTTTCCTATTTCATGTTTTACTTTATCTTTTGAAGTTTGCATTAGTTTCAAGACAGTATTCTCAGCTTGCATTCTGAGAGTTTAAAACTGAATGATTGGATATTACTAAAAATGCCGGTATTGGAAAGCTGTAAAAGTGTAACTAAGATTTAAAAGATGCAAAAGTTGAATAAAAACAATTTTTTAAAAAAACTTGAACGATGAAGTATTGTTCTTAATTAAACTCTTTAAGAAGCTCACTTCCTGAAATTGGAAAAAATAGTATTTAAAACAACTTTTGTTATTTTACACATCTACTCAGAAGTACTAATTCAACAGGGCCTGAATTATAGTAGTATTTATTTACTATAGGATTTAAATCTTTAAAGTTAAGAGAAAGAGATTTATTACATATTATATACATTCATATACACACACACACAAACACACACAAATCAAGTGTTACTATTATAGCCCAAGCCCTATTAGCATTTCAAGACACCCAAAGTGGTAAAAGAGGAAATAAAGACAAAGAAGTGATCCGTTTATATATTCCTTTATTTTCTACTTCTTTGATCTTTTCTCCTTTTGGTGTTTTTCACTCACTCACTCACTCACTCACTCACTCACTCACTCACTCATTCATTCATTCACCTTCTGAGCAGGTACATGGGTTTCTATCTGTCCCTAAAGATACAGGCTGTTTTGCTACATAACTATGTCACAGATTCTAGGAGTTTCGTTACACAAAATCTTTTACAGGATATTCAGATGCATTAATTGATTTCAGTTCCACACTTGAAAAAAATGCCCTCTTTAGCCTTTTAAAGAATAGCCTGCCTGTAGCTGAAAATATGCTATCCTGACTTTATTACATGTCCCATCAGTGGCAGAGATAAGGAGAAAGCCTTATTGGGAAGGAGAAAGCCTTATTGAAAACTTCAGCCAGGTGCAGCTTCAATAACTTTTCCAGGTATTCCGACATGTAGCCAACTCCTGTTTATTTTAGAATGCTTCATAGTGTAAACAGTAAGCCAATTCTTTTCCTGCTATGACCTGCCTCTTCCTTTTGTCTTGATTTTATTATAAAAGGGAAAAGACGAGGTGCCCAGGGACCCTGCAAAATCAATGCACAGGTCTGATGGAAATCTCAACGCAATTAATAAATGGGCCTTCATTGATCATAGAGAAAGATTCTTACGTGCTACTGTTATTACAATATTGTTGTGATGTTGGTGGTGATGGTGTGTGAAAGTTAATTCCCTTGGACAAATGTTCATATAAATTGCTCATATGTACGACCCAATTTTCATTGAGGCACTTGGGATGCTGTTTTTACAGGTAGTCCTCGGGTTACAACCATAATTGATCCCAACATTTCTGTTGCTAAGTGAGACATTTGTTAACTGAGTTTTGCAAAAGCGGATCACGTGATCCAGTGGTGGGTTGCCCCCGGTTCGGATGGGTTCGCAAGAACCGGTAGTAAAACCGGCAGGAGGCTCCGCCCATTGACCCGGACGTCATCATAGGTGATCTGCACATGCACAGAAGAGTACACGTGGGCACAATACCCCTATTCCAGGATGTTTTTGTTTAGTAAAAGCTGAAGATGATATTCTTCGGAGGGGTGGAGAAATCGGTGTTGCACCTTTGTTTCCTGAAATGCAGAAAGTTCAGATTGCTGAAGTCCTGCATGGCTTGAAATCTAAAGCACTGCAGGTGTTCGTTCCCCCAAGGTCAGCATACCTCAGTGTGAGCAGAAACAATAAATTCCAACGGGATTTCCAAATCTGTGAAACAAACACAGTGCAGTGTTGATGGGCCAGCTTATAAAGTCCCTATATAAATTCCTCTCTGTTATCTTGAAAAGGAGATCTTCTAATGTTTACTTGAAATTAAACCGAAGGCCCATCCTCTTCAGTCCTTGCCACTAAATTTTCAAGAAGCAGAGGAGGTGAGAAGTAATTGAGAACAGGGCCAACAGGCAGAACCTTGTGCTTCACGAAAACTACAGTTCCTGATCAGAACGTGGTACAGGTAGTCCTCAAGTTACAACAGTTTGCTTAAGTGACCGTTCAAAGTTAGAACGGCACCAGAAAAAAAGGGACTTGTTGCCATTTTTCATACTTATGACTGTTGCAGCATCCCCATGGCCACGTGATTTACATTCAGGTGCTTGACTACTGACTCGCATTTATGACGGTTGCAATGACCCCGGATCATGTGATCACCTTTTGCGACCTTCCGACAAGCAAAGTCAATGGGGAAACCAGATTCACTTAACAGCCAATTGTTAAGTGAATTGCCAGTGTTACCAATTTAACAACTGCGGTGATTCACTTAACAAACGTGGCGAGAAAAGTTGCAAAATGGGGTAAAACTCACTTAACAAATTTCTCCCTTAGCAACAAAAAATGTGTGTTGCTCAATTGTGGTCATAATTTGAGGTATAGCGACAAAGAGCTGAAGCCCGTCCACACTGAGATAATTCGTATTTGTTTTAAAACAAACAAGCAGAAAAATATGCCAGTGTGAATTTTGAAAAAGGGAGCCCTTTCTTAACTCCTTTGACCCCCTTAGCTTCGACTGGGGTACTGTTTTAGTGGTAACTGTTTTTTCCCACATTGTCCTCCGTAGGAAAAAAAAAACCAAGAGCTGTATAATTTGTACTCAGAAACTGAAGAGTGTTTCTACGTTCCTTCTGTTTTCAAATGTTAATTTTATTCCACCTACAGATTTGGAAGCAGTGGCTGTTTTAAGACACAGTGTGGGATTTTATTTGTACTTTTTAGAAGTCATGATGACTTGGTGGTGGATTTATATTGTCATTTTATAATAAATGGAGGGGCAAAATGTCATTTTTCTTTCTCCTTTATAGCATTGATTTATAGCAGAAAGCCTTATTTTCTCTTGGCCCCTGTCCCTTTTTTTTCCTCCAGAAATTTCTCCACTATATGTCTTCTATTTATAGGACACCTTAATAATACCTGTTTAAAGTTCAAAGCCAAAGTCAAGTGTTGCCACCCAACATAGAAACAAACAGTGCTTCCAGGTTATAAGCTGCAGCCTTCAAGAATAAGCTTCTTTACAGTAAATTTCCTTTTCCCTTTAAGTAAGAAACTCTTTAATCGCTGCTAGATAAACATTCTTTGCAAAATGTACTTTCTTAGATTTCTTGCATGTGTATTTTGTTTTCTTTTACCTTGTAGAAAAGATCTTTCAGAAATATCTAGCCAGGAGATTGATCCCTCACTGCTTTTGATTATCAAGTCAATTTGATCATTCAAAACTATTATATCTATCTGAGGAGGGAGGGAATCTGAAAGACATAGCTGGTGATACCTTTATTAGGATCTTTGTTTGCCACAGTTGTTAAGCAATTCATTGCAGTTGTTAAATGAATTGTGCGGTTGATACGCGAATCTGGCTTACCCCGTTGACTTGTCAGAAGCCAACTGGAAAGGTTACAAATGGTGATCAAATGACCCTGGGATACTGCAACAGACATACGACTCCTGCCAGTTGCCAAGAGCCCAGATTTTGATCAAATGATCATGGGAATGTTGCAATGGTCATAAGTGTGAAAATCAGTCATAAGTCACATTTTTCAGTGTTGCTGCACCTTCGAAAGGGCAAATTCAAATCTTTATTGTCAGAGTACAACATCTGTACAATGAGATTGGCTGAGCCTCCCTTCGTGCATCCCCCCCCCCCAACCCAATACAACTCACAGTGAAAGACAGGAAAAAAAATCCCTAACCCAGTGAATCCTATTAACAAACACACAATCCTAAATACTAAACAAATGGTTGTAAGTCAAGGACTACCTATAAATAATTCTAAATCAAAACACAGAAATTACTTTAAATAATGAAACATTATTTGTGGGATCCTTCCTATAGATTTATTTATTTATTTGTTCAACTTGTATGCCGCCTTTCTCCGAAGACTCAAGGCGGCTTACAATGCATTTAAAAACCATATATAAAAACATTAAAAATTAAAACATTAAAAAAAATTAAAACCCATTCACACTATTCATGGCCAGATCTCGTCAGATCGCAAAGCGAGATCAACAGCCCCAGGCCTGCTGGAAAAGCCAGGTTTTCGCCGCTTTTCAGAAGGCCAATAGGGTGGGGATGGTCCGGATCTCAGGAGGTAACTGGTTCCAGAGAGCTGGGGCAGCCACAGAGAAGGCCCTCCCCCGCCGGCCCGCCAGTCAGCATTGTTTAGCTGACGGGACCCGGAGAAGACCAACTCTGTGGGATCTTACTGGTCGCTGGGAGCTATGTGGTATACCTGGGCACCATTCTGAGATAGAATGCAAAAAGTAGATTCCATTTATTTTTAACCATTTTTAAAAAAAACATTTGCTTGAAGAAGAGTTCAAAAGTATGCCCAACTTTTTGTGATTTGTTTGGGCCTAATAGAGAGAGCATCCAGCCATTGAAATTAGACTGTTATTCTGATTGTTATCAGTTATCAAGAGAACTACCACAAGAGAGCTTCTCCAAATACACTTTTTTAGGCAGCTGTATATGAATCTCCATGTCTTCTAAACTTCTTAGCCCAGATTGGTGTGGTGTTTCTGATAACACCAGTTCTTGTACAGGTAAACATAGTGAACTCAAAATAGGTTATCTTCAGAAAACTCAGACCTATTTCTCTATTCCTAAAGGCCTAAAGAGGACGATTCAAATTTCCCACAGCCAATTAATACTTAGAGAAAACCATTCTTACAACAACAAAAATCTATAAGTAGGAGTTGGTGATTCATTGAGACACATCCTTGGAACAATTTTGCAACTGTTTTTCAATTTTTAATTATGTAGTCAATTCTGAACCTGCCAACATTCAGTCAAATACAGAGGGAAGAATGACATACAGTACCTTCCAGTTTCACTGTTTAAATATTTCTAGAACTTACTTTGAGATATTCTAGGAACTTCTTATTCCTATCTAATTTGTTTGGACAATCTAGAAAATATTAAGTTTTAGTCTTACTGGAAGGTCAGGATGAGTATATGATTGTGGATTTCTCCATGCTCAGTCCTAACAATAGGTCAACCAATTTTCCCTATCCTGAGGCTTACAGATATATAATTTCAAGACAGCATGGTATTCACATTCCCTGAACTTTTCTCCTTTTACTAGTTGGGCTGCTGTAAAAGAAGATTTCAGCACTGGGAAATGAACTTAAAATGCCAAATCTGATCCTGTGTAAGCAAAGATAGGGTGATGGGTAATGCCAATGAATCTGATTTGGCTCCTGAAGACCACATATACAAATGCTAACATATGCCTACCTCTCCCACCTACAGTCTAATCATTTGTTCAAAGTTTATGTTGGGAATCACTGCAAAAGGCAATTGAAGAAAAACCCTGCTAGTATCATAAAACCTCTGACAAAATCCATTGTAGCCTCATACTTAGAGTTCTTAGCATTGAATCTTGAAAAAGGATTTTATAGAGTTGGAAAGGTAAAACTATATATTTTATAGGTTAACATACTACCTCTACAAATAAAAGAAAAAACCAATAGTAAATATTTATATAGTTCTCCATGGTGTTGAGAAAATAGATATGGAAAAAAAAACGCTGAAACCCAAGGCCGTCCCCAGAAGTTGTATATGGGAAATTTTAGACAAATAAAAAACTTTTTCACATAGCATTATAGGTGTCCTACCATAGAATATATTATCTAAGTCAGCAAAATGGCTGGCAGTAAAGCTACTCTTGATTACTCTTAAAGCTAGATAACCTTTCTTTTTTTAGAATGGGAATCATCACACCTCTGGCTGAGAAAATGTAGCAAAAATATGCTATGTCTTTGTACTCCTTCACAGCTCTCAGAGCTATAAGATTGACCATTATAGAAACAGAATGTTGATCTAAATTAACATTTGTTCTGGTTTAATAGGCTGTTCTATCTCACTTATTTAAATACTCATCAAAGGCAATCCATCCATGTACAGTCAACCCACAATTTAATGGGAAGACTTTGAATGCAAAGGACAAAATCCATCCATACAAAATCCTGCCTGTCATTCTATGCCTGTGTAAAATATACAAAATATGAATGAGTGAAGTCCCACTTCCATTTCATACATATGTAAAAAGTATTTCAAAAAATCCCGGTGCAACACAGGAAAATCCCACTCAGATTTCAGAGGCACTACTTCCATCCATTTGTCTGTTAAATGAGGACATATTGTATATACGTAAGAAGATAGGTATTCTAAATACCTTGCTTAATGACCATATTTGGGACAGGCAACACCATTGCTAAGCAACAGTCATTAAGACATCAAGCAACTGTGATGGACTTACAACCTCACCTTTGTCACGGTCATTAAGGGAGACATCACATGATCATAATTTACTATTTCACTGGCAACTTCTCCATTGATCCTGCTTGTCAGAAGCCCTGTGAAACATGGAAATAGTGATCAAATAATTGCGGAATGTTGTGACTATCAAACACATCCAGATTGTGAAGCACATGAATCTTAGTCACATGATTGCAAGAATACTTTGAAAGTCATAAGTGCAAGGATAAGTTGTAACTTTTTCAGCACTATCATAACTTTGAATTGTCACTAAACAAGGCAGTCATCAAGTGAGGACTACTTGTACTAGTAAACTCATTCCTCTGACTAGTGAAATGCTTCAGGTGACAGCAACTTTATTTTCCTTGATGAGAATATATTGGCATTTAATAAATTAACATTTATGTACCAACATGTTAAACTGACAATATGGTAAGGATCTTTGAGTGTGACTGATTTAATCCAAGCAAGCTCTCTAATGTGTTTTCTCTCTAGACTCTCCCTAGGTTCACAAATTGCACCAAGCTGTAATTTAACTTATTTGTTTTTAGCTTAGTGTGAACCCAACCATTGTGGTTTGGGCTTAATGTGATGCAACTAGCTAGTGTTCCATTTGATCTCTTTAATGTTTATAATCCCAACCTACATATAAAATTGCTGGCCCTTCAAAACAACAATCCCCCCTCCCTACTTCAGAGAATGCTCAGAGGGTTTGAAATCCTTCCCAGTCTCTGTTCTTCAACTAAGAAACCTTAATTTACCATAGGGATGGATTAAAGATTATGTGTCCCTTCTCAAAGCAAAATGAACCCTTTTCAGAGGCTGTGTTTCTACAGCATGCTTTCCCATGGTTTACTTAACCCCAATAGCCTCAGGCAGCCTGATTGCCTGATTCACACAACAAACTGAGCCAATCCAATATTAGCTTAATGTGTTGTCTCGTTTCTGCCAAGAGTTTTTCTTTTTCCCCTGTGCTTTGATAGGGATTCTCCTCCTTCAGAAACTTTCTGTCTCCTGTACTGTAAAGCCTCCTCCTTATCTTTCTGTTCCTCAGCTGTTCTGGGCTTCCTTCCAAACAGCTGTCATAGGCCAGGATCTAAACTGCATTGTTCTATTTATCTAGCTCACCACAGAATTAAATACATAGGATGCAACTTAATATCCTTTTAAAAATGTTTTATAAAGTCACTCTTACAGATTGTTGTAGGTGAGGACCACAACAAACAGGGAGGAAAAATTTCCTTCTTTATGATTTCAATGCAGAGCCTCCTTTTTGCCATGTGCCATTAGAGTTCAGGGGAAAAGCAAGCTTCTACTGATTTCAAAGAGAGTTTGTTTGTTTTGCTTAGATTTTAGGGGCCATGTGGATGAGAAAAACCTTTAAAAATGAACATTATGGCATGGCATACAGGGTTAAACATATATTTGAGATAAAAAGGCATATTATACTTATTTTAAAAAAAACCACAATTGAACACAACACAGATTCGTATTAAGCAAAATATTTAGCACAGAGGGGAAAGCTTTTACTTTTGTTTTATTTCAGGTGTATACTTAGTCTTCTGCCATTTTAGGGTAAATATTCATCACTTTAAACCCCTGGCAGGCAACCAGACATGTGCCAGTCATGACATATGCCATTTTTCCAAAAAAAACATAGCCTCTGCAACATTGGAGATGATTTAAAGATAGCATTAGAAAGTATAACTTTAATTAGAATATTAATTAAGTTCTGGAAAATGTAAAAATGAAGGCACAACAATTAAGGGGAGCCTTGAAAGTTGAAGACCAATAGTGAAAACAGTTCTTATGATACTCTGATTTGATCATGGAAACAATGGCATCACTGTACTTGCATATTCTTTGGCATAAGAGTTTCTGCAACTTTAAATCAGTGGTCCTTCACTCAGCTTGTTTGCTAATGAGACAACACATTTAATTGAATTAAATACGGCAAATATGATTAGACACTCCGATGCAGAAGCTCTCAGTGTACATGCAAAGAAACAAAATAATGATATTATTACCAATAAGAGGGGGGAGTAAAGGCAATAATAAGGTCAAATAATACTACTACAGCCATACTGCATGGGTAAATTCACATGGACATAAACATTTGATTAAATGTTTATGATGTGCAGTTGCAAAATAAACACTGAGCATTTCCCAGTTTTCTGGCTAATTTGGACAGTGGATGGGAAACAAAGACATATTGGGCAATTATTATTTCCACAACACTGGCAAGCGCATCCCTTCTTTCCATTATTTACTCTACCCAAAGTATTAGGGAAAGCAAACAGTGATGGCGCAATCAGGCTTGGAGCCATCGTGCTAGAATTTGAGAGGACAAATATCTTCACCTGCCTCTTTTCAATTCTGGATGCTGATAAGGAAGCAGTTGGAATGATCAGAAAGAGGATATTCCTAGAGAATGGGGTTTTTTTTGGAGGGGGGAACTGCTATAGCTATTGTCTTTGTACTAAAGTAGAGAAGGGTGGGTGAGAGGTTAGTTCTACTCAAAGTAACCCTAGACCGGTGATGGGGAACCTATGGCATGCGTGCCAGAGGTGGCACGCAGAGCTCTCCTCGCCAGCTGTTCTTCCGGGTTCCATCGCACACATGCACAATGGACAGCTCGTCCATCACACATGCGCAGCGGCCAGCTGCTGTCTTCTGGGTTCTGGTACTCCGGCGCACATACACACTCCAGTTTCACACTCAGTGCCATCACTGCCCTAGAGCTTTGGGGTTAAAATAAATCCTGACTCCAAAGCTGATGGGATATGGCTGTTCTCATGAAGTACAATTCTACCCGGGAACCAATTAAGCATGTCATCCAATCACTAAGTTCTGATGGAAATAATTTTCAGGTCCCTTAGCCCTGCTTCTTGGCCACATATATTCTCCTCCATTTCTCATAGGAAGGTTCAGCTTTTCAAAAGCTGCTAAATGCCAACTCCCCACAGCTTTAGCCATTGAAGCTAATGGTGAAGGAGGCTGGGAGTTATACTTCAGAAACCTCTGAAAGGCTACTGATGCCCCATGCTTCAGCTTGCATACCTTGCAATAAATGAATGAATGGTGACTTGGACTATGCCTATGTCATCAGTCCAGATGGGTTGTTTTTGTGCTATCTCCTTTTAATGTTCATGTCATGCCAGGTAATTCTGGATCCTGCTCTCCCTTCATGTGTGTGTGTGTGTGGGGGAATCTTGCTGTGCTTTATTTTCTGACTTGGAAGCTTGCTTCCTGCAGTTCTTGAATCGTGGGAGCATTGTAGCCATCCATGAGTCACCAAAGAAAAGTGAAATGTCAAAGTTGAAGCAAAGTTTATCAGCTGGACCCAAACACTGCCAATACGCCTAGCAACAGCTTTTCCTCATTTCTGTATGCCGGGCAGAGTGCTTGATTTGATGTTAGAGAGAACAGAGAAAATCTGCAGCCAACTCCCAAATGCCAAATGAGTTTTTTGGATTGCACTAATGTGGCTTTTAATACGAATATATCAAAGGACAAGTGGATACTTTGGTCACAGAGTACTAGATCCACAGCAAAGGAGTGACCAGGTCACAACATCACCTGTTTATCAGGATGACCTTTTATTTCCCAAGAGCCGGATTGCCTGAATATACTGTACAACAATGGGAATCTTAAATCACTTTCAGGACTGCTAAAAGTGACAACACTCCACCGTAAATCTTAAATTAACAAAAACAGGAAGCTGTCAAATCAAGCAGTAAATGCAACACTGGATTTCAGTGTCCCAGTGTTCAAAGCTTGTTTAGTCAATGGGAGGGATCTAAGAGTCACACTCACAAAACAGGGATCTGTTGTCTTTTCCAAGATTTCATTAGTCTTGTTTAGGTCAGTCTCCCGTCTTAAAAAGAAAACCTAGCCAAAAGTTGAATTGTTAAGTTCCTTGGAATATTAGCTAGCTGCTGTAGCACACAGCAGTTTTAGATCTGTAAAAATATAATTCAAAGTTTGCTGCCTTCATTTTTTAAAATACTTCTATGTATAAATTAAGAGGGACGCAGTGGCTCAGTGGCTAAGATGCTGAGCTTATCGATCGAAAGGTCGGCAGTTCAGTGGTTTGAATCCCTAGTGCCACGTAACGGGATGAGCTTGATGAACGGAAGTTACTTGTCCCAGCTTCTGCCAACCTAGCAGTTCGAAAGCATGAAAAAAATGCAAATAGAAAAATAGGGACACCTTTGGTGGGAAGGTACCAGCGTTCCGTGCGCCTTTGGCATTTAGTTATGCTGGCAACATGACCAAGGAGACATCTTCGGACAGCGCTGGCTCTTCAGCTTTGAAATGGAGATGAGCACCGCCCCTAGAGTTGGGAATGACTAGCACGTATGTATGAAGGAACCGTTACCTTTATAACCTTAGCATGAAGTAGAAGTATGAATATACTTAAATATGATTAGGTCTGAGTGTATTTGTTCATTCTTTCTGCAAAAAGATGGTAGGAGAATATGAAATTGAAGCAAGGTATTTCCCCACTTCAAATCACACACAAGAATCTGAATTTGTTTATGCGGTATAGTATTAAAAATAAAATTCATACCCTTAACTTTGTACAATCTGTGGTCACTCACTGTCTCTCACCCAAATCTACCCCAATCAGATTGTTGTGAATTATGAAAAAGTACGTGTGTGTCTGACAGGAAAGTTAACATATACTTGTAAGAAATAAACTTTGTGAAGAGCAATCGCTTTCTTTCCTGCAAATTAAAAGCTATCAAATTAAAAGCTATTTTCTAATTAGGACATTCTTCTTTCATACCTGCTAAGAGCAAAAGAAAGACAGTACAGAAAAGGTGGGATTTAGCAGGTGAGATGTACACATTAAAAAATGAGAGTTCCATCTATTTGTCCAGTGATTGACACACAAGTCTTGCTTTATGCAATTCACATTTCCCTGCCAAAAGTCATAAAACAGAATCAAGCTCCAAAAAGTTTTCAACAGCTGCAAAAATTGTTCTTCTAAACTCGAATTGGAACGACCCTGGCTTGAAGTGATCCACTTGAATCTATTCCATGCTGGTGTCTTACTGATATTCTCAAATAGGGCTGTGCTCTAGATTCAGAC